CCACGTCCGTGCCACCCCGAGATGTAACAGTCTATTACGCCAGGACTTTGGACGGTAAGAGGTGAGTGCAACCATTCAACCGTCCACCGTTTTTCAAATAGACAAAATATATTCTTTGTTACTTTGAACTAGCCATCTCAATGAACTATATCTTTATAGCCATCTCATTGAACTATATCTTTATAGCCACCTCATTGAAATATATCTTTATAGCCACCTCATTGAAATATATCTTTATAGCCATCTCATTGAACTATATCTTTATAGCCATCTCATTGAACTATATCTTTATAGCCATCTCATTGAACTATATCTTTATAGCCATCTCATTGAACTATATCTTTATAGCCATCTCATTGAACTATATCTTTATAGCCATCTCATTGAACTATATCTTTAGAGCCATCTCATTGAATTATATCTTTATAGCCATCTCATTGAACTATATCTTTATAGCCAGGTTATTGAACTATATCTTTATAGCCAGGTTTTTGAACTATATCCTACAACCTTATAGCCACGTAAAAACAAATAAACGCAATTTTTTTAATGAACTAGAATTTTATAATGTGAGTGTTTGTGTGTGTGTGTGTGTGTGTGATTGTGTGTATGTGTGTTTAAGTGTGTATGCCCGTGCTGTGAAGGGGTTTGAAAACAACGTTTTTGTTTCACTGTGTAGAAAACTATTGCGTCTCAAACTATCATTGCAACCCAACTTACTTCAGACACACAGAAGAAGCTTATCCAATAAAAGCAATGTTGTACTTGGATTTTAAAAAAAAAAAGTATCTTTATCCAAAAAATAGGCTTTTGTTTCTCTAAAATTCTACACACCGAATTCATTTTTTTTTTCAGACGCGACTTTCGTCTGGCCGTCGGAGATCCGAACACTGGCAAACCCCTCATTCATCCGGTCATCTGGCACAGCCAGGCAGCCACTCGGCTGAGCCCGACCCAGTACGTCGGGGAGGTGCCGAAGCCACTGGAGGGCTGGGGTGCCTTCTTCCTTCAGGTAGCACACATTTTTCGCTCGTGCAGCGATCATTCAAGCATATATTTTGAAGAAGAAATGTTACAATTATTTTAACAAAATTAACCAGGCAACACAAGATCAACTCCACGTTTTTCAGAATGAAATTGATTTTTTGGCTAAATATAAATGTAAAAAAAAAAAAAAAAAAAAAAAAAAAATAACAAAAATAACCAGGCAACAAAAAATCAACTCCACGTTTTTCAGAAAGAAATTGATTTTTTGGCTAAATATAAATGTAAAAAAAAAAAAAAAAAGAAAATCCAAACCCTCACTTGTTACGATCAGCCGTTGCTGCTGATGTGTAATAACCCTTGGGGAAGTCTTAAGATATCAAGGTTCACATACAATCCTGGGGTAATCTCGGTAACATTGAAATACAAGTGTAAGTTAATAATAATTAAATAAAGAATTGTTATTTTTGTTTAAAAATCAAAACCAAGAGAGCTGCCACTCATTTTTAGCCCCACCGTCGTCCCAAAATCCACTACTGACATGTATTTAAATCAATTTAAAATCAAAGGGGGCATAGCCCTCCACCTCAATACAAACTTCAGAAATCGGTTGTTGTGGTTTACGAGATATGAACACTAGTTGACAACTTTGCTATTTTTTTTGTTTTAATGAGAAGCTATATTTAGATGGAAGCCGATGAAATAATTCAACCACGTGATCTTTTCCCCCCACAGCTCCACTTTGACGGCCTCAAAGGCTCGACGATGGAATTCACAACGGAAGTGAACATTGTGCCTGACGTCTTTCCGTTTCCGGACTGTTCGGGAGACAGTTGCCACGGCAGCTTGGTTTGAATTCGCGACCAAGTGAAAACTCAAAGTTTAACATTCTAGTCCCGGTCTTTTGAAAACTGTGAGGGGAAAAAGAATTCTGAATGTGTGACTGGATGTTAGTACATGCTTTTACGATCGCTTGTGTTACTTGAAATTGTATTTTTTTGTTGTTGTTGTTTTAAAAAGGCCGATGTAATTCAATAAAATGGTTTATTAAAAATTGTGTTTATTTGCTTTATACTTAACCTGGAACCAGTGACCAGTGATATTTTTTTTATCCCATAATGCATCTGAACATCCTGTTTGGACCGTAGACGACATGCATGCCAGTAAGAAAAAAAAAAGTGAAATCTCAGATCCCTTGAAGTTTTAGATTTTATAATTTTTAAGAACGGAAAACATCGGAAAACAACGTAAGGTTGGTATTTTTTAGACACGTTTTTCAACATGGCTGCTAATAATGTTTTTAGCATAGATTTGTATATATATATATATATATATATATATATATATATATATATATATCAGGAAAATTTGTTAGTAAAATTTTTCGTAAAATAAATTTGTAAACACATTTTCGTCCAAGGTAAGGCCCGCTCCGCTGGCTCACATTAAGGTAGAAGCACCGAACAGCTGTTGAGAGATTGGCCAAACGGAATACCCGGATGTTTTTATTAATATCTTCCCACCATTTAATGAGGTTGGGGGAGACTGAATGGCAGGAAGTTCTATTCATAGATTCCCGCCATTTAAGCGACAAACCCTATGGTATGGAAGCTTTTTAACAGAGGCAGAACAAAAAAAAAAATAAAAGTATTGACTAGAAATGGCAATTAATGTAAAGGACGAAGAAAAAAAAAACCCACACAGGACTGCACTCCTGGGGCGAGGTCAACAATAAACCGGGGGGCAAAACGATATTTAGATTGTAACTAGATCTAGACAAAGGTTGTCATTGTCTTTTGGACGTTCTACTTTTAATTAGGGAATCAATGTGACCTCGTTATAGATATCCAAAAAAAAGTATGTCTACGTGTTGTACTTCATCCATTCAGTGGCCTTTGCTGTACATCATCTCTTCCTGGCCATTGTTATCCATCATCCATCTGCTAACCATTACCTATTCCTGGCCAGTGTTATCCATCACCCATTGCTGGTCATTGTTAAAAAATCACCCATTCCTGTCAATTTTGTTATCCATTATCCATTCCTGGCCATGGGCTCTTTGTAACGTAATGAGAAGCCTTTCGAAGTCTGATAATGAAATATATCATAGAAAAGGGACTAAAGAACAAACTGATAAACGCGAATAGATTTCTATAGATTAATACGTGGTCTTATTTCATGATACTTATCGTTCCCTTTGAACAATCTTTGTAGGTTCAATGTTAAACGAAATGAGGTCACTTGACATTCGATGCAGTTATAACTTGTCATGCGAGATCGATCACATGACGTCTGGTGAAATGGAAATAAGAGACATCAAGTATGGGGAAGCCTGGGGAAAAAATGAACGCAACAATACATTGAACGTGTCGGCAGATGCCTTCTCCAGCAAACAAACAACAGTAAAAAAACAGAATTAAATTAAAACATAAGACTTAGCTGTAGTGTCTTGTGAAGTCGTAAGACCAGCTGGGTTGACATGTTTAGTAGGAACGTCTCTCAAATGTCTTCGTTAAAATGATTTATTTTCATACACCGGAAACTATTTCTGTGTATAGTGTAAACACCAAATAGAGGATCGCTGATTGGCGGCAGGGAAGGGATTTTGAGGATCGCTAATTGGCGACAGAGAAGGGATTTGAGGATCACTGATTGGCGGCAGAGAAGGGATTTGACAATCGCTGATTGGCGGCAGAGAAGGGATTTGAGGATCGCTAATTGGCGACAGAGAAAGGATTTGAGGATCACTGATTGGCGGCAGAGAAGGGATTTGACAATCGCTGATTGGCGGCAGAGAAGGGATTTGACAATCGCTGATTAGCGGCAGAGAAGGGATTTGAGGATCGCTGATTGGCGGAAGAGAAGGGATTTGACAATCGCTGATTGGCGGCAGAGAAGGGATTTTACAATCGCTGATTGGCGGCAGAGAAGGGATTTGACAATCGCTGATTGGCGGCAGAGAAGGGATTTGAGGATCGCTGATTGGCGGCAGAGAAGGGAGTTTGAGGATCACTGATTGGCGGCAGAGAAGGGATTTGAGGATCACTGATTGGCGGCAGAGAAGGGAATTTGATTACGAAAGTGGAATAGAACTATTAAGAGAAACGGATGTCACGCTCATCAAGGCCTGTAGGTCTGCTTTCTGTTCAAGATAAACAGACGCCAATGAGCCGGGCCGTGCAGATGCCAGGGTAAGAGGAAATCATTCGGTGACTGCACTGCTCCGCAAGAAGGCCCCCAAGTCGGAATTAAAACGTTTGATATCATTATTTTTTTAAATAAAAAATTAAGGTTCCAAAATTTGGATTGCTCGGGGCCCAAAAATCCTTTGCAAACCCTTGACAATGAGTGACGTGAAGAAAATGATACATCTTCAGGACTTTTAGGCAAGGTTAAAAAACAACTCCCCTTTAACTCAACTACCATTAAGATGAATGAAAAGGAGGGGGCCTGTGTTTGGAGCGGAGAGATGGGGGAGCAATTAAAATTCCTCACATTCAGACATACGTATAAACGTCTAGACATTGTCAGAGATCAAATACGGACACAATCAATGATTTCGGATAATGTATTGTTTTCGTAATTTAGGATTAATAGGAAGTTAATTATCTTGGAACAGGTCATGCGCAGAAGGCGAAGGAGGATGTGTATCATAAAGGAGGTATTCATGGCAGTCGTTTTTCGTGCTCTAGCATCGATTTCATGTACATCCCACAGCGTCTTAATGTTTACCCATAACAAATCTGAGTGCATTGTGTATGTGAAGTAAATAAGTCAATGACAATTATGTTTTCTCCCGTTTCAGGAGATTCATCTTATACTATGTCAACATGCCGTCAGCTAACACGTGATAAAAACTTCAAATGGCTCGTGATTTCAAGTATCATGGATGATTGCGAATGTGGATAATTAAGGCAAATACTACAACATAATAATACTTCCACCTTACAAGTAACAAACGTTGTTACAGACATAAGGACATCGCAATAATAATATAAAAAAAAGCCAACTCTGTGTTTGTTACGCCGATCCATTTTTATTTCAGCATGGTTCAGACGAGATTGCCGTAGCAAGATGACTCGCTGCAGTCCGGGAAGGGGAAAGTGTCCGGCACGATGTTGACCTCCGTCGTGAACTCCAGAGTGGAGTCCCTGAGGCCAGGGAACTGGACCTATCCAAACAGAAAGATTCAAAATGAATTGTATCGCTTAAAACATCGCTCATTAGAGATATGAGATGAGAACAACTCGTTTTAATTGACTTGGAGCAGCGACCTTGTAATTCTGCCGCCTTTCTTCGCGGGTTCGTTGGTACGTTCTTCCATTGACAGTAGAACCCTCTCAATCCCAAGAACTAAAACTAAGACCATCGGTGAACGCTCCTTCTGCTTCCATGGGCCCACGTTCTGGAACCAGCTCCCCTTCCATATACGTCATAGTGAAACCTCGTCCATTTTCAAAAAGTCCCTTAAAACTCATCTGTTTAGGTCCGCCTATGCCCTGTGATGCACCCTCCTTGCCCTACCTAATTTTCTGTTTCGGTTTAATCCTGAAGTGTCAAAGTGTCCTCGTTTTATAGCCATTTTAATTGTTTCTATAGTATAGTAGTTACTATCCTAGTGTCTCATTTGTATTTACTTAGTTTACATGTTTTTAATAATTGTAAAGCGCTTAGAGCTTTATGATAAGCGCTATATCAAAATGCCTAAATAAATAAATAAATAAATAAATAAATAAATAAATAAATAAATAAATAAATAAATAAATAAATAAATAAATAAATAAACAAATAAATAAATAAATAAATAAATAAATAAATAAATAAATAAATAAATAAATAAATAAATAAATAAATAAATAAATAAATTTTATTTATTTATTTATTTATTTATTTATTTATTTATTTATTTATTTTAAATAAATAAATAAATAAATAAATAAATAAATAAATAAATAAATAAATAAATAAATAAATAAATAAATAAACGCCCAGCTGCTTGTTTCATAACCTGAGAACAGAAAAATCATTTTTTTCCTTTTTTTCTTCCAGTCAAATATATATATATATATATATATATATATATATATATATTATCGGCGCTTTTGTTCGTAAGCAAAATTTTCGGTCGGCTAATTGACCCACTTCGCGCCATCCTATCGAACTGAAACTTTGGCGCATAGACTCGCTGCCGATGACAGCCCATTCTATAAAAATCTATTGATAGATCATATGGGCAGACAGCCTGGCCAATCTCATTGACATATTAACGAAACATCCTGGTGTTTCGTCTGGCCAATCTCTCGGTACTTCTACGTCACTTAACCTAGACGAAAGCGTGTTGACAACTTGATTTTAAGAAAGATCTTGCACAAAAATTGTTAATCCTACAAATACCCGAAAATAAATTGTTACAGGCTATGTTTTACGAAAAGAATTGTCTAAAAATAGTACAGTCACGTAAAGCGATGTGACGTTTTACGGTCTGAGAAATGAGAAAACCTTATGGGGAACACACATTTAAATTATAGATTTAAACAATGCAGGCCTAACACAATGCAACCTTTAACTTACGTAGAGAAGTGACAATTAAACACAAATGAATTTTTTTTTTAAAAACAAAGACAAATAAGTAAAGAAAGAGTCAAATTGGGCAAAGTCTAAAAAAACAAGGATGACGGCAAGACACACATATAAGTTTACTGATAAATTATGAAACTTGAAATGGGTACCACTGTTTGATTTACCATTTTGCATACACGTTTGTAAGTCATAGTTTTTATGTCATAGTTTGTAAGTCAAAGTTTGAAAGTCATTTTTTGTAGGTTATAGTTTGTAATTCCTAGTTTGTAAGTCACAGTTTGTAAGTTATAGTTTGTAAGTCATAGTTTGTAAAGTCATAGTTTGTAAGTCATAGTTTGTAAGTCATATTTTGTAAAGTCATAGTTTGTAAGTCATAGTTTGTAATTCATAGTTTGTAAAGTTATAGTTTGTAAGTCATATTTGTAAAGTCATAGTTTGTAAAGTTATAGTTTGTAATTCATAGTTTGTAAAGTTATAGTTTGTAAATCATATTTTGTAAAGTCATAGTTTGTAAAGTTATAGTTTGTAAGTCATAGTTTGTAAAGTTATAGTTTGTAAGTCATATTTTGTAAAGTCATAGTTTGTAAGTCATAGTTTATAAGTCATAGTTTGTAAAGTCATATTTTGTAAAGTCATATTTTGTAAGTCATAGTTTGTAAATCATAGTTAGCAAGTCATATTTTGTAAGTCATAGTTTGTAAAGTCATAGTTTGTAAGTCATATTTTCTAAAGTTATAGTTTGTAAGTCATATTTTGTAAGTCATAGTTTGTAAAGTCATAGTTTGTAAGTCATATTTTGTAAAGTCATAGTTTGTAAGTCATATTTTGTAAAGTTATAGTTTGTAAAGTCATAGTTTGTAAAGTCATAGTTTGTAAGTCATATTTTGTAAAGTCATAGTTTGTAAGTCATATTTTGTAAAGTCATAGTTTGTAAGTAATAGTTTGTAAAGTCATAGTTTGTAAGTCATATTTTGTAAAGTTATAGTTTGTAAGTCATAGTTTGTAAAGTCATAGTTTGTAAGTCATATTTTCTAAAGTTTATAGTTTGTAAGTCATATTTTGTAAAGTCATAGTTTGTAAAGTCATAGTTTGTAAGGCATAGTTTGTAAAGTCATAGTTTGTAAAGTCATAGTTTGTAAGTCATAGTTTGTAAGTCAAAGTTTGTAAGTCATAGTTTGTAAGTCATAGTTTGTAAGTCATAGTTTGTAAGTCATAGTTTGTAAGTCATAGTTTGTAAGTCATAGTTTGTAAAGTCATAGTTTGTAAGTCATAGTTTGTAAGTCATAATTTTTAAGTCATAGTTTGTAAGTCATAGTTTGTAAGTCATAGTTTGTAAGTCATAGTTTGTAAAGTCATAGTTTGTAAGTCATAGTTTGTAAAGTCATAGTTTGTAAGTCATAGTTTGTAAGTCATAGTTTGTAAAGTCATAGCTTGCAAAGTCATGGAAGTTGAAAAAGAAAACACATCTTCTCTCAACAAACCTGTATGAAGAAAGCCGCCCAGCCCATCAAAGGTCTGTCAATCTGGGCGACGTACTGGGTGGCGTTGATGCTCTGTGCGGGCTGACTGAGCCAGAGAACCGGGTGGATCATTGGCCCGCCAGTGGCCGGGTCTCTGATCGCCAGGCGGAAGTCCCGTCTGGGATAGAGTCAAACACAAACGTAAAATTAAACGGTTTTGTATTTTTGAAAAGAAATAATGAGTGATAAACAAATACATTCCTTTTAAGGTATCTGAAGTATGAACGCATTTTATTTTACACATTGTAGAAAAATAATATTCTGGATGTCAATCTGCTTAAAAAATGGGTGAGTCGAAAAAGGGGCCACAATGAAAGAGAGTAATTAAATGGCCCTGAAGAAAATGAAAATATAATAAATAATTGAAGAATAAATATATAAAGTAATTATTTTTGTCTACATTGATACATGCTTTAATGATCTGTAAGGGGGTGGGGCCACACACTCTTGTGCCATTCCCGTTTATTCATTACAACAAGCCACAATGGTACGCCTGTTTGACAAAACAATCTGTGCATCCAAAGACTTCTTGGTGTGTTTATATTATTTGACAAAGGGAACCACTGGATTAAAAAGATGCGAACTTTTAAGTCTTACAGAATCTAAGTATTTCTTTACCTTTTACCGTCCGTCGTCTTGGCGTAGTAGACGACGACCTTACTCGGCTTCTCCGACGTGGTGACGACTATTTTCCCGCTTAAAGACGTGGCGCTCCGGACCCACGTGACCGTCGGAAAGGTCCGATTGGCCAGTATGTTCAGGTAGAAGCTCCGGATGGCCAGAACGTCGGCCATGAAGTGGCCAGTCATGGAGTGCTCCGCATTGGGGACAATTCTATAGGGCATTATTCAAAACCATGTGCAATGAGCAATCATAGTTTTTAGCATTGGTGACAAGTCTAAGGGGGTATGATTAATCCTTGTATTATTTTTTTAGCTCACACAATGTTTTGATAAGTCAAAATGACAACAACAGAAAGACACAAAAATGCATGGAACGAGTCCATACGTAAACTTGAGTTAAGTGCAGTCATTTTTTGGGGTAGAATACGGAGCTATAGATGAACATGTTAACATACAACGTCATTCTTGAAAATTCACTTGCCTCATGAATTTCGGACCAGGCAGCTGGTCAAAGTAATAGTGAGAGTCGTCGGGCAGGAAGAATTCATCCCCAGAAGTTGTCACTATCATCTTGGGCATGGTGTATCTGTTGCTGTAGGCTGGACCAATGAGGGGGGAGGGGGTGGAGATATTCATTTAATAAAAAATGGAATGATCAGCAACAATAATAGATAATGTTTCCCTCAAATTGACTGTTGATATGATCAAATGGACTGTTGGTATGATCAAATTGACTGTTGATATTATCAAATTGACTGTTGATATGATCAAATTGACTGTTATTATCAAATTGACTGTTGATATTATCAAATTGACTGTTGATATTATCAAATTGACTGTTGATATTATCAAATTGACTGTTGATATTATCAAATTGACTGTTGATATTATCAAATTGACTGTTGATATTATCAAATTGACTGTTATTATCAAATTGACTGTTGATATTATCAAATTGACTGTTATTATCAAATTGACTGTTGATATTATCAAATTGACTGTTGATATTATCAAATTGACTGTTGATATTATCAAATTGACTGTTATTATCAAATTGACTGTTATTATCAAATTGACTGTTGATATTATCAAATTGACTGTTGATATTATCAAATTGACTGTTGATATTATCAAATTGACTGTTGATATTATCAAATTGACTGTTGATATTATCAAATTGACTGTTATTATCAAATTGACTGTTGATATTATCAAATTGACTGTTATTATCAAATTGACTGTTGATATTATCAAATTGACTGTTGATATTATCAAATTGACTGTTGATATTATCAAATTGACTGTTGATATTATCAAATTGACTGTTGATATTATCAAATTGACTGTTGATATTATCAAATTGACTGTATGCTTGCCCACCCATGCTTCTTTAACATAGGCGCTTACTTAACGGGTCAATCACAGCTCTCATCAGTGGCATGTTTGGGCTGTCCAGGCTGTAAGTAATGCTCTCGTTGTAATAATCATCGAATGCGAATGTCCAGCCCCCCAGTGACCGGTAGTGATGGTGAAGATTCTGTCCGAAATACAGGTGACATTTTTATTAGACCTTCGGACCAACAACAACAACAACAACAACAACAAAAAAACATTCTTAAAATCTTAGGATAATCACCAACAGAAGAAAGTTTTTTTTGTTTTGTCATATTAAAAAGTAAAGCAACCGCGAAGTTCCCCTCACCGCCTGGAGATTGAGCAGGTCCATGACGGTGGGCACCATCCCCACCACTCTTTTATCCACAGCAGCAGTGGTCCACGTCGTCCATCCACGCTGAAAAAAAAAATAAAGTAATGAGGGCAAAAGTTTCAAATACAAAATTCCTTGTAAACAAAAAAGGTTTAAAGACAATATTCTAAAACCTAAACCAGTTCAATTAAATCCCCCCCCCCCCCAAACAAAGCCCCACTCCCTACCAAAAACCAACCCTTAACGCTGACCCTTCATCCAATCAAATCCGACTTAGTACCTGACCTTTGACTCTCCGCCTATGACGAATTTGTTGATAACGCTTCCGGTGTATGGCCTTGAGAAGGCTGACAAGGTGTCCATACCTCGAACCACTGCCTGTTGGGGGAGGGGGGTGGGAGGTGGGAGGGGGGAATGGGCACACAGACACGTATTAATTGATACAAATTGAAATGAACTAAGTTTTTTTAAACCGCTCGTCACTGCGCTCAACGATTAAGAATAAAGTGGTTACCGATAGTAATTGTAATAATAAAGTAGTTACTGATAGTAATTGTAATGATAAAGTAGTTACCGATAGTAATTGTAATAATAAAGTAGTTTCTGATAGTAATTATAATAATGAAGTAGTTGCTGATAGTAATTGTAATAATAAAGTAGTTATTGAAAGTAATTCTAATATTAAAGTAGTTACTGAAAGTAATTGTAATAATAACGTAGTTACTGAAAGTAATTGTACAAACAAAGTAGTTACTAATAGTAATTGTAATAATAAAGTAGTTACTGATAGTAGTTGTAATACCTTGGTCATTGGAAGACGCAGAAGTATTTCGGGGTTCGTGCCATTGTCCAAGAATTTTCTCCAAGTCCACGCGATGATGGCATCTTCCACCCGTTCTTTCTGCGCGGGATCATTCTTAAGCAAAGTATCAACAAAGTATCAAATGTTGTAGTGGAAGAAATCAAGGTTTACAAATTTTTAAAAGATTAAAAAAAAATTTTTTTTTTTTTTGTTTAATTTAAAAGCTTCGATTTTCTGAATGACAACCATTTTTTTTCTCCATCGCATTTATTTGTAAACGGATAACAGACCTGAGCTGGTGACACAATTCGCTATCTAAACACATTGATTAATGCACGCTAAAAGGGAATTCTGTAGCTATGGACCCTATATTACGTTTCACGAAGACATCTTATTTTCTTGATCCTACCCCCAGGCCTACCCCAGACCTACTCCCAGGCCTACCCACAGGCCTATCCCCAGGCCTACCCCCAGGCCTACCCCCAGGCCTACCCCGAGACCTACCCCTCCTACCCCCACGCCTACCCCCCCCCCCCCCGAGGCCTACTCCTGGAAACAAAACAGTAAGGCGCTCACTTTTGTTTTATTTTATTTCTGTTCCATATTTTGTTGTGTTTTAAGTTTAGCCTAGCGAAATGGAGAAAAGGGAATATCCACGAACCTCACCGGAGACGTTAGAAAGAAGTCTTAACAGTTAGATCAGGGGCAGCGGATCGTCAGACGGACAAATGTTGAATTTTTTTCAACCATTTATAAATGTCCTATTTCATAGACAAATTGGCTCGAGTCGTGCTCTCTATGATGCTCTTAATAATAACAGGGAAAGAAATAATGGAAAAAATTACCCGAAAAACGATTGGCTGAAAGGGAACTTGATAGATGACGCCACAAACAGTTCCGGTGCTGACGGCCAGAGCTGTGAACGCCTGGATGAACTGGTCCTTCTCGGTGGGCAACCTGGTGGCAATAAGATGCGTGTTAAACTAACCGCGACTAAAGAACTGACACTTGGTTGGCGTGGGTAGATGGGTGGATATGTGGATGGATGGATGGGTGGATGGGTAAATGTGTGGAAGGATACATTTATGTACTGTTTTAGGTATAGATTCCATTTTATTTTTTTGTGTGTGTTATAGCTGTAGATCTCGCTTTCTGATGTACACATGTAGTCGTAAATTCTAAAAATCAGCGTGGTGACGCAGCACGTCAGCATTAAATCACAAACCTGGGAAATGTACATTTCTCGCTGTCTTGACAGTAAAACACACAGAACTGATCCATACTTCTGACCCACACAACTGAACCACACCACTGACCCCCACAAAACGCCCACACAACTGACCTCACAACATGCCTATATAACTGACCCACTTTACAGACCCACTCTTCAGACCCACACCTCTAGCCTCCAACTCTGACCCACACAAAATGCCCTCACAAATGACCATCACAACTATCCCTCACAACTGACCAATACAGCTGAACATACAAGTGACCCACACCACTGACCCACAAAACTGAGCCCCACAACTGACCCTCACAACTGACTGACCCACACCACTGACCCACACAACTGACCCACTTGTACTTTTGCTCCCGGCAATCCAAAGAAAGCCTGTATCCGTGTAGTCTATCTGGGATGGCACAATGACTGCCACGTGGTGCCACCATATTGGAGTTGTCGTCACTTCCTCTAACATAGACAATATACATACACATTGAGAAGTTAATAATGTAATAATAATTATCATTAATAATTATTATATTATTCGATAAAAATAATAGTTTTATAATAAGAAATATGTATTAAATAAAGTGTACATAAAGTTTTAGTTTGTGTTTAACAAAAGATACAATTGGTACTTTCATTGTAATAGTGAAAAAAAACACGAAAAAAAACGAAAAAAACGAAAAAAAACGAATGAAAATCAAATTTGATTGTCAACCGGTAAGCCATTTTTGTGACGTCATGTTGAGAAGGTAAACACTGTAGTTTGGACCCTGGAATGACGTCAGATATTTGTAGTTGTAGTGAGGATCAGGCGTGTTGACGTAGTCATCCAGGGGCGTCCCCGAGCTCTGACCAAGAAGGCTGGCCGACACAGCCAGGAGGAGCAGAATGATGGACCTGGCCATTGTCTGATTTGTTTGAACTGAAGGGAAATAAATTGCGATGTTGACTCTCTCTTTTTTTAGTTAAAACTTTAACGAAATATATATATATATATATATTTAATATATATTTATATGAATAATTTTTGTGTGCCTTTTGTCTATTGAAGAATTTGAGGAGATCAAATGGATTGAATGTGTATCTCATCTTCACTGTCTTGAGTAACACACTTCAAACACAGCTAACATAAAACAAATTCAACATACCAAAATGCAGATTCTTTTGCGACTCCGGTTTTCTTTTGTTATCCTGTTTTAATGAACCGCCGGTGAAAGGTAATATAATGTGCACTTCAAACCGTGCACATAACGAGGGCCGCGTGTGCACAAACGACACTTGGGATAGAGCAATAACGTGCTACACTTAATGATCGTTAAGGGTCTGAAAAGACGGTGATCGAAATGAGGTGTATGTCTTATGTTCCAAAGGTGACGTTAATTGTTTTCAAAACAGGGCAGCGCAATCATCTTGACACCTGGTACGCCTTCAAGGGAAGCTGACCACTTAGGAACAATGAGTCTCAAAGCACAGCTGGAGCGATTGTTGAAAGTGTTCAGTACCTGCATGTTTAAATTTAAAAAAAAAAAAAAAAAAAATTAAAACAACTTGCAACTACTCGGGGCCTCCTCCAAAGATTGGGAACTACTGATTTAAAAATATAAAGATGTGCTATCGGACTCTTTTTAAATTTAAAAAAAAAAAAAAAAAAATTAAAACAACTTGCAACTACTCGGGGCCTCCTCCAAAGATTGGGAACTACTGATTTAAAAATATAAAGATGTGCTATCGGACTCTGCAATGTTGGTTTTTTTTTTTAAAGTTAACAGCTTGTCAGTAGTCTGTCTATACCGTTTGTGTTATCAGCACTTGTGTCGGCCGAATGGTCAAATCTTAGAGATTATCTTTCGAGCAAATTACAGATGTTTAGCTTACACAGAGACAACCTAATCCTTCAACATCGTGCATCTTCTTTAGACTTTGTTTTTAATTAGACACACAAAAATTTGTGCAAGTTAAACAATACACGTTAAGTACTGTTATAGGCTTTAGTTACAGTTACACGAAATACAAATTCAAATGTTTCGGAAAATGACTTCATCAGTACAGCTAAAAAACCCATTCATATACGCAAAAAATTAAATGTACATAAATATATCTATACATGTCCTAAATTTACCAAGAATGAAAGGAAAGAATAAGTTCCTAATGAAAACAAAGCTCGGAAGAATGGAAAGAGAGTTTTATCTTTAGACTTTCAGAATTCTTGTTTGAATTTGATGTCTTTAATCTCAAAGGTGTTTTAATATATCTGGACCAGCTTTATGTAATGGTTTCTAGGATATTGAGAAAATGAATGTGTCATTGTCATCCAGATGACGGCGCCAATTTAGACATTCGAAGTTAATTAAATGCCGATATTTAACGTTAATTTAGAAAAAAAAAAACACATACAGAAATTGATCAGTGAAAATATTTGCTTTATCAAACCTTCCTATTTTAGAAAAATCAAAGGGAAAAATAAGAATTCAAGGATGATTTTAGCATCAAAAGTTTCATAACAGCTTAATAAATGTACATAAATTTGTATAAAGCGTCCAGGTAACATGTGATTGCTATAATACAGACATTTCCAAAAGGGTTTAAATGTAGATTTTTAAAGAGAGTTAAGAATTAAGTATATTTTAAGATTATTTCTTCCTAGCCTTGCCATTGAGTTGACATACAATCAACTGGGGCATATTCCTAGCATGATACACAATCTAGAGAGATACTCTTGTTAGCATAGTCATGGGCTAAACTACAAAACCAACAGAGCTGAAAAGTGAACCCAGAAGGCAAAAAGAGACATCGCACGTGTTTACCTTTCGTAAAACAGACAGCAACACCTGAACCAACATTCTACATGAAACAGCGACAAGCAAACCAACAACACTCTTTATCCCGGTATCAATGTTTATTTAATTAGTTTGTAAAATCGCTTTAAAGTTGTGATTGTTATATCCAGCCTATGTCAGTCAATGCTGGCCATCAACTGCATCCTGTAACTATTTCCTGTCGTCTTGACTACGTCTTGCCTTTTGGATGAAATAGGCAAGGACGAGAGGGTGAGACTGACGAATTGAACAACTCTCCCTCACTTTAAACCAGTGGTTCTTAACCTTTTTGGAGGTACCGAACCCCAACAGTTTCATATGCGCATTCACCGAACCCTTCTTAATAGGATTTTTTTTTGGACCTCCGCCGAACCCTTGAGACTGACTCTCCGAACCCCTGGGGTTCGAGCGAACCCAGGTTAAGAACCACTGCTTTAAACAATATATACAGCTCAAGTCAAGGCCACTACTCACGTCGAAAAATGTTCAAGGTTATCTTCGCGTGCGAAGGACGAACACCATATCAGTGTAGAGACCGCTGCAAAATTTGAGGACCTCTTTAAATTTATATGTAATCTTAAAATCCATAACCAAATTCATTCAACGGGATGCTGAAGGCACGCTGGGAGCGGGATGCTGAAGGCACGCTGGGAGTGGGATGCTGAAGGCACGCTGGGAGTGGGATGCTGAAGGCACGCTGGGAGTGGGATGCTGAAGGCACGCTGGGAGTGGGATGCTGAAGGCACGCTGGGAGTGGGATGCTGAAGCCACGCTGGAAGAACAAGGTTAACAAAATTGCAAAAGCGCGCGGGTGACCGTAGAACGTAGAACTCTGCCGCTGAATGGAAAAGGTCTCCGGTGTGTAGGCCGTTAAAGCACATGTTTGCTGTCCAGGTCTTCGTGAGCTGACGCAATGACAGCCAATAACAACGGCAATGACAGCCAATAACAACAGCAATGACAGCCAATAACAACAGCAATGACAGCCAATAACAACAGCAATGACAGCCAATAACAACAGCAATGACAGCCAATAACAACAGCAATGACAGCCAATAAAAACAGCAATGACAGCCAATAACAACAGCAATGACAGCCAATAACAACAGCAATGACAGCCAATAACAACAGCAATGACAGGCAATAACAACAGCAATGACAGCCAATAACAACAGCAATGACAGGCAATAACAACAGCAATGACAGCCAATAAAAACAGCAATGACAGCCAATAACAACAGCAATGACAGCCAATAACAACAGCAATGACAGCCAACAACAACAGCAATGACAGCCAATGGATGTGAAGGAGCGGAGATTTTCGACAGGAAAACGAACCGTCTACTCCTGATGGCGAGGTCAAATGGCTTTGTCGGGTAATGCGAAAGAGTTGATGTCACAATAACCCTTCTTTTCATTGGTCTTGCTTTAAATATATTTATGCGTATAGAGCTAGGCATGGCAACAGAAAATTTTTTTTTTTAGGGGGCCCCCCCCCCCCCCGATCTTCCATTACGATTTTAAAAAAAAACGTAACTTCATCTACATGTCATGATGAAAACAACTGAACTATACCCTACCACCATTTGAGAACCACTGTATAGCTTAAGTCCATGATGAAAAAGCTAATGTTTCATTATTAATTTACTAGCGTTCTGTTGGTTTGCATTACAGAGTTGTGCTAAGGTCTCCGAAAAGGGACCAAGAGTTTCATGAATTGTGTACATCGACCTTCTAACTTGTTGAATGCTTTAAGATCTTGTTGGGACCAGCATACGGCCCGCCAGCACCCACTTTGCCGCCTGCGAAGTAACGAAATATTCTTTATTTTTCTTCTTATTTTCTTAATAACTCCCCCCGTCTCCCGCCACTGTTCCATTTCCTTTCGGCCCGCCCAAGTTTTTTCATACAGTTTTACGGCCCGCCTTATATTTTGAGCTCTGGTGCAGGCCTGTTGTAGGGAAATGGTCGAAATAGCGATGGGAAATATCGCTAAGGAAGGGTTGCCCCTAAAGTCCATGGCGTCCAGGCTTATATTTACTTTTTAATATATTTCTTGGAAATAGTAGCTTAATGGCCAACATTTTGAGTTCTGTATTTAAAGTTTTGAACACAGTTTTAGATACAATCAATGATCGAGATTGAAACTAGTACAAGCAACATACTCCCCCCCCCCCCCCCCAACAAAAAAAAAAAAAAAAAAAAAAAAAAAAATTTTTTAGTTTTGTATTTTAAGTTTTGAACACAGTTTTAGATACAAACAATGATCGAGATTGAAACTAGTACAAGCCACAAACTCCCCCCCCCCCCCAAACCACTAACATTAAAAAAAGATAATTAAAGAGCTTACTGGGGATCTGTTACTGTTATGCCAAGAACATTTCAGTTCCTGCTGGTTTTCATTGGTTGAAATTATTTCATTGACGTATTTTTAACCAATCGTTGTAGTTTACATGCTGTGCATGTGTACAGCCAAATTTTTCCCCCCACAAGGCATCAGATATGTTTACAATAGGTTGTACATTTTTTAAAGGTGTACAATGAAGGATTGTGGGAGAAATCTTGGTCTACTTTTGCAAGGCCTCTCTCATATAATATAATTGTGTGTGTGTGTGTGGGGGGGGTGTAATCGGTGCGGTGGAGGGTAGGGGGAGCACATTCTTCATTTTAAACTTCCTTTAGTCGGCACTTTGATATTCTACTTGGTCTGACCTTACTGGTCCGTTATAACCTTGACCCTAAAAGCTCAGGAAGTTCGACGTGTTACGTATTGTTTCCCCTTGACCTCTTGGTCGGTTTCATGTGTTAGACTATCCCGGACACGTTCCCCGAACATATGCGTGTATATGATTGTATACAAGACCCATATGAAACACGCATATTCAATTTTTGGTTTAATTGTGGTTTTTTTAATAGATAAACATATTGATATTCGCCAGCTATGTATATGAATTAGCGTAACCGCTTAGCATGGAACACATTAAAAAAAAATCGCCTATGAAATTCTAAAAATAAGACCGAGTGACTTAAATAAATCTAATCTTTGTGATTTAGTTGAAACATTTAAGAAACCCTTCCGAGTATGGAGGCCAGTGGCACAAATCTATTATCTATATTCTAAACTAATCAGATCTGATTCCATATAGTTATGGGTCTATTTTTGGTCTAGGGCGTAATGTTACAGTTTGGCAATCATAAGTTGCTGATAAGAACAAAGATTGTATCAGAAGGTCAAGGCACATCATAAAAAAAAAAAGTAATAAATAAATAAAAATAAATATGTAGTACGCGTGAAATCAGTGCAATTTGTGTATGTGGGGGGGGGG